TATATATGTTATTATAATAAATCTTAAAACAAATAAATTAGAGTTGATAGTTATATATTTAAAATAGAGAACGCAACATTGGCCTTCGAGGATGACTTTAATAAACCGGTTAGAAAGAAACGATTTGATAATCTCAAAATCTTTCCGAGATACACCGTATGAAACAAGACAAAAGAGAAGACCAGCATGCCAAACTTTGTTGAAAGCCTTAGATATGTCAAGAGCAATAGCTCTAGCCTCTCCGCCCCCATCTAATGCACGATAAAATCTTTCTGTTACATCAGTTAGCAAGTCAGCCGTAGAGCAAGAGAATCGAAAATCGTATTGATTGTCTGACAGCAAGTTATTTAAATCGAGATATCCCATTTTGAAAGTGAGAAATTTGTTGATCAAACACTCAAAGACCTTGGTAATAACAGAAGACTGATTGGACGATAATTAGAAGGGTCAGAATGTTCACCGGAGTTTTTGAAAATTGAAACAACAGATTCCATTTTCCAGCAGGCAGGAAAACAAGACTCTGCTAATGTTGCATCTCTTTATCGAGCTAGACACTTTCTTACTTCGGATTCTATTCTCTGTATATCTATAAATCTCAAATCCAGTCTTGTATGGAATAATGTTGCCATATCTGGGGCGGATCTTCTAATGATGCCCTTTCTCTTTTAGACAAGGTGCAAAAACGCATTGTAAACATAGTTGGACCTGCTCTTGCAGCCAAACTTAAACCATTATCACATTGTCGTAATGTTTCTTCTCTTTCTCTTTTCTACAAATACTATAATGGGCACTGCTCTAAAGAGCTAGCGTCTCTTGTGCCATCTACAAAAATTCATTCTCGTGTTACTCGGCATTCAATTAAGTCCTTTTTCTGTGACTGTTTTGACGTTATCTTGCTCTACAATCTTCATCTTTTCTCTTCCAGTAACTTCCAATTCTAATTAGTGGTTGCTTGCAGCCTTGTTGAAGACGAAGATGTTTAAAAAAAAAAAAAAAAGACTCAGTCAACCACTTATTAAAAAGTTTAGAGAAATTTAGTTTAGAAAATTGAAGAGAGTTCTGGATAACTATTTTTAAGACTGTGACAGGAGATATGAGTTTAGCAAAGGAAGCTGGAGTGATTTGAATGTCTAACAATGGGTTAACCTGTTTAATTGATTAAAAACCTGTTTAATTGATTAAAAGATAAAGATGCGTTTCTAAATTTCGATCGGAGCAGAAATTGATTGAGAAGTTAAAACTTAGTTTTTTCCAATATAGGAAATTTCTTTAATAAAATTAATTGGAAATAAAGATCGAATAGAATGGAAAGTAGAAAGTAGAAGCAAATAATTGGAAAAAATATAAATTATCTTTAGATGCAAAAAAATTGGAACAAATATAATAATAATTTTGCAGACACGATCTTCGTTGTATATTTGCAAAGTAAAAACATGTTACATTTATTCGAAGCTACAATAAAAAACTTCTTATGGAAAAGCAAGATACTAATGTTAAAAAAGGACATTATACAACAGAGTATTGAAAATGGAAACAAGACTATTAACCCAGTGGGCAAACGATGTCGATCCAACGTTAGATTTATGTCAGGTTATGTTGGATGACGTTGACCAACTTAATCTAACATTTTTTACTACAAATTTATTTTTTTGGAATTACAACTTTGTTACACTAACGTATATTTTATCGTATTTTTTAACTACAATTCTATAATAGCTATATTAAAAAACGTTGCTTTTACATCGAAATCTCAACACAGATTAAAGTTTGAAAAAGCTAACGTTATCCATCCTTTCCATTTCCAACATTAATCCAACGTTAATACAACCTAAATGACAATGTTAGTTAACGTTGTTCCAACGTTGTGGTGCCCACAGGGACACACGTTTATTTTTTGCATTTTCTTAAGACTGTTTAGTAGCTGGAAATTGTCTTCCTCTTAGTATATGTAAAGTATCATCTGATATCAAGTTTTTATTATACTTTAGTGATGATAGAAAGAGTTTTAGCAATTGTGTCATGCATAAAGTCAAGAAACGTGACATTCTCTCATTGATTATGTTTAACATATACTTTATGTGCATTTAAAACAGCTTGAGCCATCAGTTAAAGTACTACCTTACAATACCATTTAAAAATTTTTCTCAGTGTCTGAATACTAAAAAGTTGCTGATCAACATAGTCTACGCCATCCACATGACTGTTATATGCTTTGATAATAATAGGTTTTTCAATGTTATCTCCATATCGAATTTTACATGTTTCAATATATGGTTGATGGCAAGTTGTTAGCATATAAAAACTTTTTATTTACAAATGCTTTATCTTTTAGATTACGGCGTTTACATGCAATTGAATTAAATTCTTTGTTTACATAAAATACATATTCCCCACATTGTAAGACTTCTGTAGCAATTTCTTTCGAATACATTTTTCGATTTCATTGTATTGTTCCACTTAAGTGAGTGTTGTTTACTAAGAAATACTTGGCTAATTTTGGACTGGTATAATAATTATCTAAAAAAAATATGACCTTTTCCAAGAAAATCTTCCATCAGCATAGGGGGTATCCTCTCTGTAAAAGGCATGGTGCTATTAATATCATCATTAGCAAACATCAACTCAAGTTTTATACCAAATCTACCTTGCTTAGATTTTATATACTGCTTCGAATAAAATCTGCCTTTATAAAGCACAAGAGATTCATTGACACTCAGATTTTTACCCGGTTCATACAATGTTTTGAATTTTTCAAATATTAGTAAGCGGTCTGACCTTATGAAGACGATCTCCATTTTCATCATCAATATTATAAATGGAAAAATTGTTAAAATATAAAAAATTTAAAAGACGATAAAATGTGTTTTGGTTTATAATTTCTGAAAAGATAGGTGAGTTGTACAAGATATCAGTTGGCCAATGCATAGGTAATTGGGGTTTATATATAATTCATCAAGATGATCATCATTGTCAACATCGAAATCTGATTCCTAAAGATCAATATTTTTATTGTTACACATGAGTTTTGGACTATGGTCATGAGTTGTTTTGAAAATATTTAAACAATAAACAAAGCAAAAAAAAAATAAAAATAAAACTTCATTGTAAGCGAGTTACTACTAGCATTTATTCGTAATTTGTTATATGATTTATTCGTAGTTCGTTATATGATTTATTCGTTATTCGTTATATGATTTATTCGTTATTCGTTATATGATTTAGTGTCTAATTGCTTAATTAGGTACATAAACGAGATGATTGGGTAGAAATCACAATTTATCTTACATCTTATTGACAAAATATTTGACTATATTCAAAAAAAAATTTTATCACATGGTATTCTAAATAGATTATCCAGGTCATATTTTAAAAACCCGGAAAATTATTTGGGTAAAATATCCGGAAAATATTTTCCCTTAATTTCCTTTAAATTTTGCTTTTACCTAAGTTGTTTCTAACTTTTTTTTTCAAACTTTTTTTTATTTTTCTACAAGTGATAAGTGAAAAAGCTTAAAAACAAACATATTACACAACTTTACACCTAAAATTGTATGTATAAAAAATGTTTAGGATATTCAGAAAAACTATCCGAAATTCCGGAAAGATCCGGAAAAGGATAATCCGTGTTTATACCATAAAATTTTATTCAGCTGGTTAATAACCGGCAACCAATTATGCATTTAAACAGCTAGTACTATTAAAAGATCATGTTTCTAAAACATTTTTATCATTACAATTAAATTTATATTTTAAATGATGCAATTTTTAATTTGCATGAAAACTGAGTATTTGGCGGTAAGTTTGTCAATACACGAAAACCCCGCATCAACCTGAATTCTGTTCATGACTAAACACAAACAGATCCGCAGATGTTCAACTTGTAAAGTGCGTGTATTAGTGTCAATTCTTTTAAATCTTAAGTCGTGCGTTTTATTCAAAGAATTAATTTTATCATAATAGCGCTTAGCAGTGGTCGTTTGAATATTCAACACAACTGCGTTTAGCACAGGTCACGCATTGCGTCTCAGCACAAGTCGCTTGGATATTCAATACAACAAGTTATTTTAATATCAAAGATGAATTTTATATAGATATTAAATACAAGTTTTTTGAATTTGAATACAACAAGTTAAAACTATAGTAATAAGAACAATAGTGATCAGATTTTAAAATAAAAAAAAATAACACGACAAACTTGAATAGTTGACAAAAAATGAAAGATTGCATGATATCTTATTTACTTATATCGTCGTAGTGACTGCAGTAAGACGTAAGTCACAAAATAATAGGTTTGGCTTTTATTGCATTATCGTAACCAAAATAGCCTTAATGCAATATGCCATTCATCCAATCTCAGTCAATCATAAAATATCATTATCACGCAGTTGCCCGACTGTCCGCCATCATAGTTTTGGCCATCGCAATATGTATTATTGTCAAGTTTTAAATTTAATGACCTTTTGTTGCTATTTAAACAACAACATTTGCAACCTTTTGTTGCCATTACGACGATAAAGTAAAATAAAATTGTTCATCAAAAATTTTACTGGCTTCCGTCTACAACAAATTTGTTTTTTAATGCATATAATATTACAAATAATTGCCTTAATATTATTTGAATTGTTTATCATAAATAAAAGCATACTCTAAATATTTACATAACAAAATAGTATCTGAATATCAATAAATAATAAAATATAGTTTAAACTTTTACAAAACAAAATATCAAAACATGATATTTTTATATATATATATATATATATATATATATATATATATATATATATATATATATATATATATATATATATATATATATATATATATATATATATATATATATATATCAAAACATGATATATAAACATATATATATATATATATATATCAAAAGATATATATATATATATATATATATATATATATATATATATATATATATATATATATATATATATATATATATATATATATATATATATATATATATATGATTGGTTTTTTGTGGTTAGTTTACAAATATTAAAATAATTAGATCAAATTTTAAGGGCATTTAGTAAATTAAATATTTAAGAACCAAATGAATTCGTATCACATCTGATAAATATTGGCCTCAATGAAGTTAAAATGAACAAAAAAATTGTAAATCATTTTACACATTAAATAACTATAAATAATTTGAAAAATAATAAAAAAATTTTATAAAATAAAGAAGGCGCCAATCCGCAGACAAAGTAAATATTCAAAAAGATCGTTACGAAAAGTCCACGAGAAAAAAACTTTACATACTTATAGCGCTCATCAGATCAGAGATAAAATCTAAACGTTTTTCTACGCTATTCATAGCTAAAAATGCACCTAGAGTTAACTCAGAGCTTACTGTGGCTCGCAACATCCACCAAATCCATTTAGGACCGTGTTCCATATTGAGCTCTTCTTCTACAAAATCAGGCATTGTTCCAAACTGACTGCACATGCGATCCTAAGAAAGTTAATCGTTTATAATGCATTCTATGTTTATAAACCAAAATTAAAATTGCTGTCTAAAACCATCATACATAAAAAACTTACAAACAAAGAAGGAATTGTCAAAACAGGTACAGTCTTTAAAAACAGAATCGATTTTTCATAGGTAGATTTGTGAAGGTTCTTTAGATAATCTACAAAAATATTTCTAAACATTTCATACGCATATGATATACTCCATATTTTTCAATTAGCATTACATAGTATTTAAGATAAACTTTATTATTGCTGAATCAGTTTAAAATAGTTCAAAATTATACGTTATTGGAACTGAAATAAATCTTATAGAAAAGAGAATTTTTTTTAAATATACTTTAATTATTAAGATATTGTACCTATAACTCTCATAGACATAAGTTCCACGAAGGAAAACAAGTTCCTCAAGGGAAAATAAGTTCCGCGAGGGTAATAGGGAAAATTGACTTCTATGATCTCTTATGCTCCATTGAAAATTCAAAAAATATATACAAATTTTAGATGAAAAACAATTTGCAATTTTTTATAAATACAACTATCATGTTGCAATAATAAGATTTAAATTTCAACTTATTTAAACCTGACAGTAAAAAAAAAAACCTGACAGTAAAAAAAAAAACCTGACAGTAAAAAAAAAAACCTGACAGTAAAAAAAAAAAACCTGACAGTAAAAAAAAAAAAACCTGACAGTAAAAAAAAAACCTGACAGTAAAAAAAACAACCTGACAGTAAAAAAAAAACCTGACAGTAAAAAAAAAAACCTGACAGTAAAAAAAAAAAAAAAGTAAGAATAAAACTCTTTTTACGTTGAATATTTATTTTGTTGTCAATAAATTATTTCAATACTTGTGACTACAGGAACAACTATTTTTTTAATTTATTTGATAGTAATATAAAAAAGATACATACTGAGTTTATCATTAGGTATTGGCTGGTCTCTAACCCAATTTACTTTGGCTGTATAGTATCCGTCAACAGTAGACCTTTCAATTACCTATATTTAAAAAAAAAAGAAAATTATTAGAGTATTATTAACCGCATAGTCAGGAATAAAAATGTAGGTAAGCAGAAACTTTTCTTGGTAAGCAAAGATCACAAACAAGTTAAACATGTAATTCATAAAGAAGAAATATCACATAAGAAAGAGGACATTATTTGAAATTAAAAATAAATTTATAGAAAAATTTTTATTTTTATAGGCATACTTCTAAAGACTTGTAAATTATAAAACACAATACAAATATTTAATGATTTTTAAATTTTGATTTTAATTTTTTTGTGAGTGCTCAATTGAGTATAAAAAAAATGTTTTCATCCAAAAAAAAATTGTTCAAAATTTTTTATTTTGAAATTAAAAACTTTTTTTATTTTAATAATGAATACAGCACATTAAGAATCTTTCATATTATTATCAAATTATCTGAATCACAAATATTTTATTTCACACAAATTTCATGTGATTTTAATTGTGAATAGGCTTCAAATTAGGTACCTTATTCGGTTTAGATCATACAATCTTTTATAAATAGCCTATCTAATTTTTTCTCTACTAGCATAAATATTATAAATGTATATTTTTACACTAATATACACTAACATTCCTGAACAAATACATATTGAAATTTCTCTTTTAGACAGAGTTACACTTACGTTATTTCTATTATTTTAAAATTAAATTTCTCTCTTAAGAGTTTCTTTTACTTTAATCACTAGTAATCATTTAAAGTGCTGAAAACTTTATCAAAATAAGATGCACCTAAAGAAATGAGACAACTCGAAACTCATGACAGATTTTTTTAAGAAAACTAAAACCTGAAACTTCAAAAATTCAAAATTCACTGCTCACCTACATTAAAATTTACATGCTTTCTGATATAGTATACACAAAGGATAAAAAGTGATAGTTAGCCTTGTTTTAAGCTAAGTGAATATCACTTAAGTAAAAAACCATTAAAATAAGTAAAGAAATTAAGTTTAATTGTTTTAAAAAACTACAAAAACATAACTTTATTCACTAGAAAGTTTTTCCTTTTATTAAGCATAACTGATTTGTTTGGAGGCAGTGAGTGTACATACATAGATTGATATAGCCATAAAAGCAGGGGAGTGTACATGCATTAATTAATTTAACCAGAAAATATTTGATTTATTCTTTGAAGAGCTTAAAATATTTATTTTAAGCTCTTCAAAGACTTTCAGACTCTTTCTCTCTGATTTGGAGTAAGGCCTGGTCTCATATAACTTGTTTTTCAAACGTAAGGGAAATACTTCTCTTGTTAGTAATCTCAAAATGGAACTTACTAATTGTGAACTTAAAAATTACATTTTTTCAAATTTAAAATGAGTTGCATTATAATAGCATGTGAGCCACTTTCAAATGTTTCAAATGTGATTCACAACAAAGATTGTGTTGTTACTTAAAGGGACCATCCATAAAGTACAAACACAGTAAAACTAATAATTTCAATAAAGTAATTTTGAATTTTTGCAAGTATTAAGTATTTTCATTTTGTTGGTAAAAGTAATATGGATGATATATAAGTTAATGTACAAACCTATTTTTTAAAATGAGATGAATTTAAACTTGGAAATTGAGGAGCTAAATGAGACATCAGATCCTTTAAAAGCTTATAACTTTTTTTTCTAAGTTCACATATTAATAGGCAGTAGGGCTGAGTAAACATGATACTCTCTCATCATAGATAAGATGTACATTAAACTTGTTTTCCAAACCTCTCTCAACATGTTTACTTTCCCTACCACCACTATTTTCCTTCGGTATTACTCAACTACCTTTTAATCAACAAAAAAAAGTTCTTTTTGTCTTATTTGCTTGGTGATAAAGAATCTTATTACATCATACTCATCAACAAAGATAGTATTACAAAACTCATCAACTGCTGCATAAAATTGGTAACCCTGCTTTTCCATTACTAGATGATGATTTCCATTACTAGATTACTGCATTCCATTACCCTACTTTTCCATTACTATTTATTCCACATGCTTACACAAAAGAAAAATTCCATCAAAATTTTATTGGAGATTTATGATTAAAGTTATTGCGGAAAGAGTTTAAAGAGTTATAACTTTTTTAACTGAAAGAGTTGTAGAACTTTTAGTTTTAAACTTGTAGTTTTAAATTTTTTTTATGACGATGGCAGAAGAATTTTTAAATAATCCATTTACCTCAAAAATCACGGAGACATCCATTTATTGGCATGGATTTTACAGACAGGGGAGATTCATTTAACTTTAATCCCTCTTCAACCCCTTCCTGCCTTCCTTAAGCCATCCCTCTTTTAGTAGTTTTATATATATATATATATATATATTTTTTTTTTTGGATGAATATTTAGATTATTAACATAATTTTAAGTGTTTATTAACTTCAAAGTATTTTATTTCAACTTCTAAAATAATATATTTAAAACATTAAAATAATCTATTTAAAATATCATATTTAAAATAATATACTTAAAACATTGGCACTATTTTAAGTTTATTAATTTTGAAGTTTTTCATTTTAATTTCTTCAAAGCAACTTTTAAACTTTTAAAACTTTTAAAGTTCAAGAGGTATTTCTAGTTAAGACAGCTTAAACTACTCAAAGTTACAAATTTAATCTTGATACTCAAATTTAAGTTGGATACAAATTTAATGCCAGATTAGATTTTCTAAAAAAAGGAAATGACAATATTTGCTTGACTCTAAATCAAATGTCCCTTCTACTATTTTTGACAAAAGCTACCGCTATTAGTTTCAAGAGCTTAGAGAGAAACTTTCTAAGCTGTTGGAAAAAAACTGATGGAAAAATCATAAGCTGCAATTCTTTTAAAAGAATTATCCAATTTTTAAAATCACTTTTATTTCACAAACAATAATGTTCGGTTTTAAAAATAATATCCATGTTATTCTGTATACTTGCGCTATCATGCTCAAAAAGGTTCTTTGGGTCATAAACATGATTTAATTTTCTCCAGTTCACATTGTGTAATTAATGATCTTGAAACATAATTTATGATACAAATTTTAATTTTTAATATAACATGTTCTTTACTTAAAAAAAAAAAAGTTACTTTAAATCGTGTTCCACCAATTGTGTCAATAAAAAATCGCCCATCAGATAGCATTTTATGACTTTTTATTTCTAACATAAGACCATATTCAGAAAATCTAAAAAATATATGAATAAAGTTACACTAATTTTAAAACTGACTAAAGTACACAAAACATTGTAATGAGTTTGTTTTAAAAACCTCTTATGATTCAAAAATCAAAAATATTCAAGTCACCTAGCAACTACCTGTGAATATTTTACTACAATATTATGAAAAAATACCTTTCTTTAAAAAATACCTTTGAAAAAATTCAATAAATAATATGTATAAGAAAAAATATTTTTGAAAAAAAAAAAAAGATATAAATTTAATAAAAAGAAATCATTTAAAAAAGGAAAAAAAATTTATTGTTATTTGAAATCAAATAAAAAATATATATATCAAATATAGAAATAGAATAAATAGAAACTAAATCACATTAAAAATTGTGGCTTAATGATTAAAATCATATTAAAAAATTGAAAACTAAAAAACTGACCAAAGAAAAAATAAAAGTTTTTTTTCATACCCCATTTGATCGTCATAACAACACATGCCAAACTTTTTGGTACCAGAATCAATAACCCTTCGCAAAAGCAATTTATATCTTGGTTCAAATATGTGCAGCGGACAATGTAAAGTTGGAAGAGAATATGAACAGACAAATACAGGAATAGTGGTAACATCTATGTCACTAAAATATAGGGAACAAAATAAGAAATAGAAATAAAATTAATAATATATATATATATATATATATATATATATATATATATATATATATATATATATATATATATATATATATATATATATAATTTATAACATTTAATATATATAATATTTTATATAAATAAATAAATAAGAAATAGTTATAAGCGGGGTCGCTCAGAGGAACTATGAGGGTGATGTTAAACTTATAATCTAACAAAGGTTTTGTGCAAGACTAAAAAACCTTGTTAGTTATATAAACTTTTTAACACTGAGGTTTCCTCTGAAAGGCCCTAAAAACATATGATTATAATGATTTATAAAGATAAACCAACTTTTCAACAACTAATGCTTCATTTTGATCTTGTTTTATTCTTTCATCTAACTCTTGGGGCAGATAGGTTTGAATGATTTTTTCCATAATCAGCACAACAGGCTGAAAAAAAAGACCAGTTTTCAGTGCATTTTGTATTTAGTTTTAATAATTAAATTGTTAAAACTTAGAGACTAAAAACCTGCAGGCCAGAGTAGACTCATACATTCAGAGTAGACTCATTCAATTGTCAACTGAAACGGAAATATGGGGTGTGGGATCAACTTAAAATGTCATAATGTAATTAAATAGCAAAACTATAAATTAAACTAATATCACACAATAACAGCTGAAGTATTACAAACATTCATTTTTAGAAATTTATTTTTAAATAGATTTTTACTTTTGTATTTACATATTACTGCCTGAATTTTTTTTTACATAAAATTATGAAAGAGATCAGAGTAATTGATAAACCCTTAAGTGAAAAATAGATAACAAATGTATCTATGGTTATACATTTATTAATGTTGAAGAATATTATATTTAATATAATGATAAAAAATTTGATTAATTTTATTTATCACGTAACAAACATTTGATATAAACAAAAACTTACTTTTGGTCGTACTCTAATAAGCTTAAAAGAAAAAAAAATTATAATTAGATATAATTACTAAAAATCTCTATGTAAAAGCTAGTTAATAAATCAATATAATAAATAAACATAAAAACAATTATGATTAGATATAATTTCTAAGAACCTTTATGTAAAAACTGATAAATAATTATAAACATAATTTAAAAAAAAACCTCTGCAATTGAACTTCTGCACACGGCACAATAATAGTTGTGATCAAGAGATCGTTCAAGGCAAGCAGAACAAAATGTGTGACCACAGGGTGTCGATGTAGGTTTGTAAAGCAATCTAAAACATAAAAATTGTTAAATTATTATTTAATACAAATGATCATAATTTATGTCAACAATGATTTTATATTAAAAATAACAATTATTATCTTAGATTAAAATTAAAAACATTGAAGAAAATTTACCTAAAACAGAGAACACAATTTAAATCACTCTTCAACTTTTCAATAATATTTTCAGGTATCACTTCAGCTTCGATACTTTTTATTTCTAATAGATGAAAAATTTGAAAAAAACCATTTTAACTTTTATGTTGCTTGATAATCAAAATTAAATGGAATGCTATTGAAAAAAACAAGTAAATTAATTATTTATAACTCAAATTGAGAAAATGAAAGGATCAATAAAGAAATAGATATCAGGTTGATATCTTGATAATTATCTATATAATACACAACAATCAAGCAACAAATAAACTCACTTTCAACTCTGTTATTGCAGATAGTAATTCCATAGTATAATAAGTGAGCCACAATTTTTTCAAATTTTTCTTGACCTTTTAACTCAAAAAGTGGGACCTGCTTGATTTGCATAACAACATCTGGAACAGAATCGAATGCTAGGTCAAATTGTAAAAGTTCTAAAACTGTCTGAAAATAAAATAGTTAATATTAATTGATATCCATCAGTAATGGATAAAATCAAATGGAATGATGTAATCATCATTAATAATTGGTTATTTTTGTTTTTACAATTATGGGACTTGTATTTCTACTGTTGATATTTTATTTTATAATACATATTTGAACTATTATAATAGTTTCATTCATATTTTAAGCTCACCTCGCTTAAAACATCTATAACAGGTTGGCTCTCGTCTCCAAATGAAAGATATCTGATAAATGAAATAGCAGATTCAAGCATTTTTCCAAGTCCTTTGTACGCAATACCTTCCCGATAAAATGCCTATTTCAATAGCGTAAGAAACATTAGTTTTGCATAGATAATTTATGTATTAAAAGAAAAGCATCGAAAACATTTATTGATGTAATTCAGTTTAAAATATAAAACGTGATCACACAGCTTATAATAATAAAATTTAATATAACATAAGTTATTAAATCAAAATATATTTACTTGGCAAACAAATAAACAAAATTGGCAAAAAAGATAAAAAAACAAAAAAGTATATATATATTATCTTGGCAAACAAAATACAAACAAATTGTAGTGTTTTCACATATATTGTAAACATATATAATTTTTCAGCCAAATTTTTTTACTTTTTTGCTGAAAACTAAGCATTAAAACTATATTAATTTCTTTTATAGAAAGTTTTTCCCTGACTGAAAAAATAAATTCAAAACAGAAAACTAACAGATAAAAATTACTTGACACCTGACCACCTGATGGGAAATTTTACAACTGCTATGGGTTTAGCACAAAAATTATATTTATAAAATAATTGAAGAGGGGAAATTATATAAAAGTAAGGGGAAAACTCAACCATTTGTCATTTTACTACAAAAATTTATGTTTGATATATCTTAAATAGAATTGTTAATAAGGTACCAAAAACAAAATATTTCTGTTCTTGTTTCAATATCTTATAAATTTCCTGTCTATTAGTTACGTCAACAGAATAGGGTTAGGGGGTTTGGAAATTTTTGACAAAAAGAAGGATGGGGGGCTGGTCAAGAAAAGTTAATGTCAACAACGTTATTTTTTAAAATAAATTTAGTTACTTGAAAAAGGAAAATTAGGCAGCCTTTGTAGTCTTGTGTTAAACATTCACTGAACCTTTAGTATTTTAATTACACTAACTATATTTCTACTTTTTTTAAACCGTGTTGTACTTTAAAAATACTCCACACATACAGAACTAAATAAGCACACATGAGATGTTTACTCGTAACACTATTATTTTTTCAAAGTTTGTATTAGTTGGTCTGCTGTGAAAACAAACAAAGATTAATTTAAGTACATAGCCTACATTATATAATTTAAATGTTTATACCAGAGGTCAGCAACCTGCTGCTCGCAAGTCAAATTTGATGTTACAATTTTGATATTAAATGTGACTCTCCAGCTCCATGTACAAATACTATTGTAATATTGAAGACAAGATGTTAGTAGTTCTTTAAAAACTGGAAACTTTTTATAAATTGTAAACTTTGGCTTTTCCGTAAGTTGACATAATTTTATAAGGAGGGCCACTGAAAGTTTGACAAGTCATTAACAAGGGGGAGGGGGAAGGTAAAAATTGCCAAAAGAATGTTGACATAATTAATTGACAGAATTTTATAATTTTATTTTATTTTATTTTTTAATTGAATTTACATGTTATATTTTTCTATACAATGTTTTTATATCCGAAGATATTGTTGGCTTAGCATAGGAACAGCCACAAATAGTCATTAAGACTAATCCAAAGTAGCGTCCGTTATTGACCAACATTTTTGCGTACCGAAGTACTACTCAAGCGCTGAGTTGGCGGTGGCAGGATTTGAACTAGTCGTGTCTTACAACTGTCTGGGTTTAAACTTTTTGTTCGATGCTCTAACCAACTGAGCTATCCAGCCACAATTAACAACACTATGCAAATTGCAAATCCTAAAATTAGGCTAAAATTGAATAATGTTCTTGAATAGCTTATTTTGGAACTTTTAATTTTAAAAATAGCTAGCTAATTTTAACTTCTAAATTTATTTTATTGATTTATTGGTGTAGTAATATTATTAGCTCATTATTATATCATTATAATTCATTTCTTATAGCTTAAATCATTTATAGCAGCATTTTATTAATCATTAATAAAGATCAGTGCAGTTGATATTTTCTATTAGAAGTCTTGAAATAATGGTCAAGTACCAGTGCTGTTAAAATCTATACAAGGGCGCACCTGAAGAGAGAAACTAAAATTTAAAAAATAAAAACTAAAGTAAAATTTAAACCAAATAAAAAAATATATATATGATACCAAATTGTTTTGTATAAATTTCAAATCATGTAAGAAACACATAAACGCATGCCTTGATGGGAATCATGAATGCGTAATTGCTTTTAAAATTTTCTTTAATGTGAATAAAGAGAAAACAACTCAAATAAATATTTTTCAATTGAATCTTGAATTACAAACTAAAAAAGTGAAACATGAATGCCTATTTAGTTTTGGCTTGAGCTTTAAAAAATATTTTGTTAGCCTTAGGTTAATGTAAATTTGTTTCTTTATTTTCTTTAGGAAGCAGACTAAAACCATTAAACCAAACCATTAAAATTTTTTTGCTAGAAAAAAATGTTTGTATATATCAGGGACTCAAAGTAAGTGTCGGAAATCAGAATCCTCCAGACCTTTATTGAAACCTGTTTGATGGGGCATCCAAAAATTATTCATTTTGTGAGAAAAAATGAACAATTTTGGTTGCCCTCCTCTAGCATGTCTTATAAATGGTTTGAGAGGTGGCAATATCCATCACCTATTTCGAACCCTAGTGTGTGTGTATATATATATATATATATATATATATATATATATATATATATATATATATATATATATATATATATTAAAATTACTGGAGTAGATAATAATAAATACTAAATAAAAATAGCCTTCCACCTTTTTCCAAGAAAAATTAGAGAGCAAAATTGCTTTTTGTGCTGCACTAAGTGCATCCTCATACTGATGTTGAGATGCTTTTAAATTTGAAAGATTTGATAATGCTATGTAATTACTATCATCTAAACAAATAAAAAACAAAAATGTTAAATACTCTCAATACTTTGTTTTAAATTATATACTTTAACGTTTCAAGTTTTTTTTGAGTGTTAATAATTTAATCAAAAAAAATAATTATATAGGTATACAATGACTTACATTAAAAAAAAAAAACAAAGTAAAGCTCTATCAAGTTGAAAGCATATTTATTTAAAAGCCTAAATAAGTTTCAAATGGTGCTGATTTAAAAAAAAAAAAAAGCTTCTTAGCAGCAGCTATAATCATCACTTGCTCTACTTACCTATTACTTAAAAACAAAAATCATTGTAATGCAGGTTTCTTAAAAATAGAATATCATAAAGAATTTATTGTCCTTTTTTATCTTACACAATTTTATATGATTGTAATATATTTTGTTTATACACAAAAAATAACAGTTTCTAAAGTTTTTTTTTTTTTTCATATGGCTTAAGCATCAGCAACATCCCATACAGTTTTATGGTATAACTATTAGGTTTGGACACACTTTTTAGTTTTACACTGTGTAATATTTGACAAATATAAATACAATATCAGCATTGTAACATTGCACATAAGTTAATCAAACATTACATCTTCAGTACTTCCCCGAGAGCTTGCATATCAGAGTTTGAAAAAAGGAGGGGGTGAAATTTATCAAAGTTAAAAGTTAGTCGAGTTAGAAAAAACTTAACAACCAAAACGCAATAAAAAAAATAATAATAATAAAGAATATTTACTTACATAATGACAAGGCATTATTATATTTTTCTTCTGCTTCTTTGAAATTTTTTTCAATAAATTGCTTGTTTCCATCTAAACGTAGCTGTATAGATTGAAGTTCATTTTTAAAACAATACTCTAGTATAGAGTTTAAACAAACATTTTGATTTAGTAAGTTTATAGAGGATTTAGATGAATGCCACCTTCGTTTGGCTGAAATATTTCCACACTTAAAGCAATGTTCAATGTAATTCTCACTTTGTCTATTAACTAAGCAATGCTTACAGTATGTATGACCACAAGACAGTACAAGAGGCTGATACATAATTTCTTCACAAGCATCACACAAAAAAAAGTCTTTGAATAATTTTTTTTTGGATACCTCTGGTTGCCACTCATTTTGAAAGTTATTAAAGGAGTTAGCAAGTAGTTTTAGACATTCATAATACCATTTCTGTGTCCCAAAATCTTCTACTTTTGATAATTTCACTTTTAGCAAGATGTATTTCTCCTGAAATACTAAACAACTGTTTTTGGCTGAATTAAGTTGATCCATTATTTCTAAAGAATATCGATTTTATCTCTACATAAACTTTATTCTATTTTTTTATAATTACTTAACATTTTTTATATTTTCTGTAATTGTTAAACTATTGATCATAATACTTAAAACTATTATTTTTGTAAAAAAATATAGAAAATATACATATCAATACTAGTTATTGAAATATCAGCTATTTCCGGAGTTTAAATCTCGACATATTTACTGAAAAAGGTTTTATAAAAAGTTGAATAAGAAAAGACGATATAAAAAAATTAGTATAAGAAGAAAAGTATGTTTGTACTCACTAAAAAAATGCTGTTATGACACAAAAACTAACGAAATTCCAAGATGAAACTTTTTTTGAATTATTTTTATGATAAATGTCACACTTAAGTTTGGTCATTGCATTTTATAAGTTATTACAAAATTATATAACATTGCCTGATTCGTAAATATTTCATAACTTAACAAAATTTCATAACTTAACTGAATCAAACCATAATAAAATATTTGCGAAACTCTTCTACTTACTTTCGATTTTAAAAAACACATTGGCGTGGATATTCGGACAATTCCTAGCCGGTTGTCTGACTACAAACCAACGTTAGGACTAAAAGCAAAACTATAGTGAATAAATTTAAAAAAGCTTATTCTCGCGATTACGGTTTGTGAGTTTTTAAAAGCCTCGGTGCGGAGAATTTGCCGTCAATAAATAAACTAAAACAGAAAAACTACCAACTATTATGATAAATAGCAAACACATCTGTGCAGAGGAAGCAAATTTGTATTGATAAGTTAGATACGTAAAACAAGTAGATAAATTAAATGTATAAGCAGTGTTAAGAGGTTACCAATGTAAACCAGTTTCTACAATTTATTATCTCTTTGATATCTTATATTTTTAAACTATTCAAAATTTAGTTTGAAATGTAGATTAATAATTTAGAAATATAAGATATCAAAGGGATATAAAGTTGTAGAAGTTGGTTTGTATTGATAACCCCTTAATCTCTTTTATATTTTGTATTAGAAAAAAAACTGAAAATAAAAAATTTCACTAAGTGAATTGAATATTGTGATTTATACTGCACATTATACATATAGAACAGGTCAAGGTTTAAAACAAAAAACTCAGTTACTTATTTCACAATCTTTGACAGGATATTCATAAAACGTCAAACGGAGAAAAACTCAGTTACTTATTTCACAATCTTTGACAGGATATTCATAAAACGTCAAACGGAGAAAATTAAATTCATAGTCAAAAAAATAAATATCCTGATTTGAACTTAAAACTTTTACGAGTAAACCCTCTCTTGGTTTTTATTTTTCTTGTCAAACCTTTTTTTTGTTTTTTTTTACAGGAGTTTTTTTTACAGGAGTTTTTTTGTTTTTTTTTACAGGAGACTGACAAAATCCTGGTTTTTCCTTTAAATTTCTGCATTTTTAAATTGATTTAGAAAAAGCTTTTAAACAAACACTGTTAAATTTTTTTTTTTACAATATGGTTATACACTAGTAAACTTAATCAGGGGCAATTTCTCGAGTGTGTGTGTGTGTGTGGGGGGGGGGGGGGGAGTATCACAAAAGAAGGCGAATTTTAAGTTTTAGTTGGTTTATTGAGGAATATAGTCGGCTAATCGGGCATTTGATATATTTCAGTTAGGTGATTTTTAGTTATTAAGAACTTTTTTTAAAAAAAAAAAAGCAGTCGGTACTTTTTTTTAGAAAGCAGTTGGTATTTTTTTGAAAGAAAAATTTAAAAATACTACACATGAAAACCAAGAATGTTTATTAAACAAAAAATTGGAATTAAATTCTAAATGCAGGTATGAAAAAAAAGTTTCTCCTAAAAACTATAAAAATAAGTGAGCTACAAAAATATTTATATTAAATTTCGCTTTTAAAAATATATTTTGAAAAAAAAACAATTCTAGAGAATTCTTTTTATGATAGCGTCAGCATATTCCCCAAATGCGTGAAAATTTACAGTATACTGTAAATTTTCACACATTTGCTACTTGTAGCTAAGACATTTATGACTTTTTGTAATTTAATTTTTGGTATAAATGAAGTTTTTTTGAACATTCATTTCTGATGAGTCTTTTTTGATGAAACTCAGTGAAAAAAGTTTGATATACATTTTTAATAGTATGTATAATAATATTATGAGCATTAAAGCATCATATACTGAATCTTACTATTTATTTCTTTTTTTTACGTAATATTTTCGCTCATATAGTGAGAGCCATTATCAAACTAAAACCGTTAAAAAAAAAACCGTTTAAAAAGTTATAATGAACATAACAAAATGATGTCATTGCAACGTTAGATATTCAACATTTTTAATTTTACAAAAAGTGCTTTCCTAATACTATTGCCATATCTGGAGCGGATATAGAATTTAGAATAGGTGCAAAAACGCATTGTAAATAATGTTGGACCTGCACTTGCAGCCACCCTTCAACCATTGTCGTAATGTTGCTTCTCTTTCTTATTTCTATAAATACTATAATGAGCACTGCTCTAAGGAGCTAGCGTCCCTTATTTCATCTACTAAAATTCATTCTCGTGTTACTTGTCATTCAATTAAGTGTCATCCTTTTACTGTGACTGTTCCTAAGTGCTCCAAAATTTCTTATTTGTCTAGTTTTTTCCTTGAACATCTTTAGAATTAATTAGACAACTTTAGAATTTGCCTCCGACATCTTGTTTTCCTGATTCATATAATTTGCAATCTTTTAAGTTGTCTCTTAATCGTTATCTTGTTTTATAAACTTCTTTTCTTTTCCAGTTGTTGGAAGGAAAGATGTTTAAAATAAGATAAAATAAATTTAATAATGAAATTCCTTAGGCGTGCTAGAACTGTTGACTCAATTTGATCTAGTTTTAAGCTAACAGATTGACACTTTTATAAATGAAATTAAAGAAAATGTAACATATTTGCCTTCAACTATTTTTGAACTTGAAGAACACTATTCATTATGAGGAACCGAAAGTGAGGAATTTTTTTTTAAGCGCAAAAAGTAAACTTATGCGCATAAAATTGCGTTAATAATATTTCAAAAAACCAATTAGTGTTTTAAAATACAAGATGTAAATACAGTTTTGTTTTCATCCAATTTCAAGATTTTTTGTTGAGTTGTTATATGAAAACCCATTTTGTCCCATTATATATATATATATATATATATATATATATATATATATATATATATATATATATATATATATATATATATATATATATATATATATATATATATATATATATATATATATATATATATATATATACACTTTATATAATTAAATAAATAAAAACAACTAAATTCGGGGACTTAAAGTTTCATGCCCGAAGGCAATCATCAGCCGTGAATACAAAAAAAAAAAAAAATTGATTTTTTTTTTTTTTTTATGCATTCACGGCTGATGATTGCCTTCGGGCATGAAACTTTAAGTCCCGCTATTTAGTTGTTTTTATTCATTTAATTACATAAAGTGTATATATATATATATATATATATATATATATATATATATATATATATATATATATATATATATATATATATATATATATATATATATATATATTCAGGGACGTCCCGAAAAGATTTTAATGGGGGAAGGTACCTGTTTTTGCCAACTAAAGCCAAAAAAATTTTTGCTGACTAATTTATCTAAAAAAAGAAAAAAAAAGGTCCTCTTTGACCAACATTTGTCGACTGCTAACTATCGATCCAATTGTGCCGACTCCAGTGTCCAATTTGCCGACAAATAAAATTCGTTGGGGGGGAGGGGGGAGGGGGCTAGGCACCCCTACGCCCCCCCTCTCAGGACGGCACTTTATATATATATATTATATAATATATTATATAGTATATATATATAATATATTATATAGTTATTATTATTATTATAAATATTATAATAATAATAATTATATAATATATTATTATTATTATTATTATAGTTGTAGCCGTAAAATATACATTCAGTATATACATACAGCGAGCAGGGAAAACACCCTACTATAAATAAACAGTTTTATAAATATTCGTTCCGAATTTTATCCTCAACCAGTGATCTAATCTAATTTTAAAAGAAAGTACAGTTAAGTAGCAAATTACTCGCTTGGGTAATTCGTTTCATTATTTTGCTGATCTATTATATAATTGGTTGTGTCTTGGAAGACAGTTTAGACCATATTCACGTCTTATTTTAAGATGGTGACCACGTGATAATGAGTTAATAAATTTTGGTTGATGTGTATTGTTAATTATATCAAATCGATGTATTAGTTTAAAAGTTTACGAATTTTACGAGTTTTTAAATACGGGTCCCAAACAGACACTGCATATTCAAGGTGTGGTCTTATAAACACTTTATATAGTTTGAGAGCATTTTTTTCATCAATGATGGTGAATGTCTTTTTTAGCATACCAAGAGTTCGTAAAGATTTGGAGACAACTGATTGAATATGTGTGCTCCACTTGAGGTTAAATATAAAAATGACTCCTAAATCGCGCTCTTTAGTAGAGCTTCTTAGGCTTTCATTTATACCTTAGTTATTTTGCAAAAAGTAACTATACATAGAATTGGTTTTACCATAATCGATAACGCAGTATTTCGCAATGTTTAATTTAAGTAATCTAGTGTTTGACCACTCGTTTACTAAGCGTAGACGATCTTGCAGATCAACGAAATTAGACTGCGATAAAGTTTTAGAAAAAAGTTTAGTACCGTCGGCAAATACTTCAGAAGTTTCAATAAGTTGGGCAAGATCGTTTGTAAAAAGAATAAAGAGGAGCGGTCCGAGAAAAGAACCTTGAGGTACACCACTAAGAACTTTTTTCCTTTTTCATTTTTATCGGCTGAATTTTTTCGTTATATTAACGGGGCTGGATGATAAGACCATGTCTTCTGCCAGCTCCGATCCAAACTTAAATGTTATATTTTTATGTTGTAAAAACAATGTAAAAGGTATTTTTGAATGGCGAAAATATACATTAAAAAAAAAAAACAGTTAGAGCTAGTATTGTTAATTCTAACCCGTTCCTTTCTACCCACTAAATTTGAATTAATCAATTGTAGTAGTTTGTCTTTTATTTTTTAATTTTAATTTTAACATAAGTCTGTACGGAATCAAAAGCTTTATCACCACTTTATAGATGAAATCCACCTCTACCTTGCTTTAGCAAGGTAGAGGTAGATTTCATCTATAAACTTTATAGATGAAATCTACCTCTACCTTGCTTTAGCAAGGTAGAGGTAGATTTCATCTATAAAGTGGTGCGATGCTAGGGAAGACGAAATAATATCAAAAGTCTCTATTAAATTGGTTACTCAAGATTTATGATGAATGAAACCATGCTGATTTGAAGAGAGTAGATTGTTATCGTCGATGTGTTTCAAGATTTTATTCTTTACAACATTTTCAAAGTTTTTGCACGCAACCGAGGTTAGTAAAATAGGTCGACTGTTTTCAAGAAGTAGTTTGTTTCCCTTTTTTTATAGATTAGGCTAATTTCCAGAAAGTTGGTACTATTCCAAAATTAAAAGATTCATAGAAGATTTTTATAAGCGGAATTGCGTAGCTTTTGGCATATACCTTAAGTATTAAATGGTACAAGCCGTCAGGTCTAAAAGATTTGTAAGGGTTTAGATCGGTAAGTTCATTAATAATGTCTGCAATAGAAAAATCCAAGTTGTTATTATAATTGCATTTAGGTTTAACTTCACTTTTATTTAACAAAGGAAAACTTTAGGAGCTTTCAAGAGTAAACATTGAATTAAGAGTTCAAGAGTAAACATTTGAATTAAGAGTTCAGAAGTTCAAGTAGATCGGGAAGAGTTTCAGTAATTTCCCCTGAAGCATTTTTGAGAGAAAAAATTTTATCTTTAATTTTTAGTTTGTTGCTAATGTATTTGTAGACGAGTTTTGGGTTGTTCTGAGATTTTGATATTACTTCTTTTTCATGTAATATTTTTGCTTTAAATATTTCAGCTTTAACGGAACAATTAAAACAATTGTAATTTGTTTTGAGATCTTTATTCTTTAATATGTGGAGTAACCCAATAATCATACTTTTTTTTGTTTATTTAAACTTGGGGATAAAAAATTCGCAGGCAGTACGATACTAAAAAATTAATATATTGAATATTTGATCCGTATTTTTGTATAGAAATAAAACAACGCAATCGATTGATGCAATAAAGTTTGATATTGAATTATAATCAACTTTGTTGTAACTAAACAATTGAGATTTGTTTTGGGGAACCATGTTTCGGAGACAGCAATAACATGATAGTCAAACGTTCTAGCTATTGCAATTAAATTGTTCATTTTGTTATTAAGGGATGTTGCATTAGTGTAGTAACAATTAACGCTGTAATTTGTTTCCAGGTTATGTACGTCTTTACCTTTGTATTTTATTATAATTGTTAGGACAGTAAAGGGAGGGTAGTGATTTTTAGGCAGTGGTTTGAGCCTAACAACTCCGCTGCTTCGTATACCGTATCTAAAGAGCGATGTTTTTAGATTTATATTACTATTTAATTCATTATGCTTTGTTCTTAATTGATAGGTTAAAAATCGCTCAGCCTCAGTCAGATCTCAGTCAGATTATGAGCAGCCGTGGCGCAGTGGTTTGAGTTCTGGCTCAAAACCCTGAGGTCCGTGGTTCGACGCTAGCTCTAGCCCAATAAGCGACATTGGTACGGAAGGAGGCGTGAACTTCTTGTTAAATGCTCTTCCGCGGTGCTCTGTGATAAGACCGTAAGAACTTCTGGGAGCACCTAAACTACAAAAAAAAATCTGGGCTTAAGACAATTTTATAATCATCTGAATTTTTTAATTTTTTCGCTGATGAAAGTAATGAGTTTCTTTCAGAAACGTCTGATAGTTCGACGATAATTGGTCCTGGTTTAGAGGACATAAATTTAATACGTTTTACAAACTTTGTTTTTGCATCAATTGCGATGATAGTTAATATGTTTTGAACCGTTTCCGTATCGTCGATTTGCTTTTCTGCATCTGATAACTTAGTAGACTCTACCATAAATAGACATAGAATCTACCATAAATAATTACATTTTTTCTCGATTTTTGTTGTTGTTGTTGCTGAATGGAGAATGCGTTGATTACTGTTAACTTTTCAGGGTTTTTTTTGTTTGTTTTTGTTTGCAACAGTAACCCAACTGGATTCAATATTTCTGGTTGTTGTAATAGTTTATTTATTAGTTTTTTGATCTTTTTGCTTCTAAAGCAAGCGAACTAACCTTTGTCACCGTATTTTCATACCTTTTTTAGACATTTTAGGTCTTATTTTTTAAAATGCAGTTTTACTGCAGTAGGTAATGTCACAATCAAAATGTTGAGTGATCCTTAATGGAAAAAAACAAACGCTTTATTTAAATATTAAATAAAATACTTGTAAGGTTACATAAGTCTTCTACTATGTAATATTAACAATTTTATACATGTAGCATTTTGCTACATGTACAATTTTAATTGTATAGACAAATATATTGATTTTCTATTTGAAGCGTTGTTTGAATTGGTTTATGCATAGCTTAAATATCTCATTTCCTAAAGTAAAAACTACTGCCAAAATGCAAAAAAAAAAAAATGTAAAACCAAGCAATTCAATCACAGTTGACCAAAAAAAAATGTTTCTATTAAAAGAATTTTTATTACCTCTTGAAACCTTTTTAAATACATTGACTTTTAAAATGAAGTGAAAAAATAACTATATAAACTCTATTTTATACATTATATTACCATCAAATAGCTTCTGATTAAATTGTTAGACATGATCTTTGATTTTCTTCACAAGAAATTTATTCAAAATGGTCTAATATTCTCTTTTAGTCAAATACTCTTCAATATTTTTACATAAAATATGAAAATTTATAACTATTAACAGCAGTTGAAGATTAAAATGGTTAAAATGTTCATTATAAACCGTAAGTTATGGTTTCCTACTGCCTAATCTAATAAATCGAATTATGGTAGCAGTTCTTCAAAGATGTTTACTGTTCAAATTAATTATGCAGCATAACAATCTTTCATTGTACTCTGAATGATTATTGTTTCGTTTATACCTTGGCTAATGTTTATAAATGTCTTGATAAGCAGTTTTAACAGTTTGTTCACTATGGACCCCTAAGGGGGATCCTTTACAACTGATGAAATCTTTGATATGGTAGACGATGGTGCGAATTTTGGGTGTTACGCTCGCACCTATTATCATTAAGTAACACCTTTTGAAATTTTCAATTATTTTAACAAAATCCGGCTGAAGAATAAATCCAAAGCAATCTTTTACAACTAAGTTAAAACCTTTGAATGCTTCAATTGTGGAAAGAATGTTTGGAACCGAGTTTGTATTAGCAAGTTGCTGGAGCACATCAAGGTTTTCAAGAAGCTTCCTGCATTTTTATTTATTGAACTGGTCCCCATAATACGGACTCAGTTGATTGTGGATGGCAACTAGTCACTTAACAGCTTCTACCCAAGCAGTTTTAAGTATCTTAAAAAAATGATTGACAACTTCTATAAGGTGATGTAATTCCATCGGTGGGATTATTTCCAAAATCAGAACATTGTCATTTCCACTAATGATTGGCTTTCAAATGGCATTGCCAAACAAATTTAAACGAGTATCAACCCTGACAAAGTTTGGAAAAGAATTGAAGTTAGATAATTGAGCCTAGTGTTCGCAAGTTTTTAGATTTGGTAAGACACTTGAATTTGATATCACACCATGTATATGGATGCATTCTTGAATGGGTTTGAAGACCTCAAATTAAATTTGCTACTTTCATATCGCAAGTCAAAATTATTTTAATTCCATTTGCATTAATCAGTGACCAGATTTGTTCAATATTCAATCTGACAATCAGCTGATCCCTTATCATTTGGACCAGTTTGATGGAAAAGAATCCTTAAAGCTTCTTAAAAATCTTGATGTGCTCCAGCAACTTGCTAATACAAACGGTAAAGACAGGTTAGTTGATACGCAAGGCTAGCTGATACACACAATTTCCAGGCTAACTAAATCTTTTTATAGGTGAAAAGCTGCCATCTATTGCTTGCTAATGTAACAGGAACTCCCTCGTTTTAACCTCATAAGGTAGAAAGCCAAAGTATTTATAATATTTAGAAAAAAGTGCTTTGCGTTATCACAAGTGAAATCTTCAAGACCAGGTAAGGTGTTTTGTTTGAATTATATTTAGAGTATTTAATAATTTCCCATGTTGGAGTTAAAAAAAATTTTTAGGCAAATAATATCTACTACTAAATACCTTGCAGATCTGAAGTCATTACCAAGTTTTAATAACTTTATGTATAAAGCATACTTACTCAAAATTCCATCATTACATAAAAAATCTAAGCAGCAAATTTATCAATAATTTATTTTAGAGGTAAGTAGTTTTAATATAAAGTATGATTGTTAGCAAACAATAACTGTTATGTTTACAAAGAAAAAAAAATAAAATCCCATTAACTTCAGAGAAATCTTCAATTTCTTTTCTATTTATTGTTTTTACTGTCATTATTATTTGGGGCTTAATGATAAGACTAAATTTGTCTTCTTCTAGTCCCGGTCATGTAATTATTTTTTTTATAAGTTACGACTGTAAATTTTTTTTTATCGGCAAAAGTGTAAATAAATAAAAAAATAAAAAAATATTTTTATTTCATTTAACCTAGTTTCTTGCTTTTGTTTTTGTTTGATTGTAATCTTATTTCTGTATTGAAACATAATCACGTGTAAAATGAATAAGGTTTTTCTAAAATTATTTTTTTATTTTAATTTGGTTATTTAAAACTCATTTAAATTTAACCATAGGAATTTTTACTCGTGTTTCTATGTTGCAGGATAATTCCGAATGTTTGTAAAAGAAAAACTACCACGGCAATAAGAGCACCCCCTGATGTAATAGAAAGACCTGCAGAGAATGTGAGAAAAGACATTTTGTAGTGCAGCAGAGCAGTTTGGTATCAATAACTCAATAATAAACCCAATAAATGACTCTGTCTCAATATATTAGGAAACGCCAAACTAATCCTGATGCAGTCACTAATATGCAGCTGTTGCAATAATGCCAGCAGCTTTTCTGATGAATCGATCATAGAATATGATGGCATCTCTGATGAAGACATATTTTCTGATGAGATAATTGAGGGTGATTTCGTTATTGTTAAAGACGTTGGAAAAGGAAGGGAAGTTTTGTTGCACGAGTTGTTGAACGAGTTGTTGCACGAGTTGTTGAACGAGTTGTTGCACGAGTTGTTGAACGAGTTGTTGCACGAGTTGTTGGAGAAGAAGAATATGGAGGATTTCTGGAAACTTTCGGTTGAATGCCAAGATTAGATTTTAGACCTACTTTGATACCAAATGGTAATGACAAAGCATCATTCCCAGCAACTGAAATTCTTTACAAGTTCCCACAACCAAAAGTTGTAAGTGACTCTTCACGGCGTTCTGCTCAATTGAGATTTAATTGAAATTTAAACAAATGGAACATTAGGTAACCTGAAAAATGCTGCCTATCTTAAATAACTGAATATCAAAATGATTTAATTCAAATTTACTATAAAACCTGCTATTTTCAGCTTTTGTAATAATTGTTGTTTTTGCTTAATTTCATATTGTATTGCCTTTATTTTAATGGCTCTAAATCTTATGTTTTTTTAACTACTTTGTATCATTATGTTATAATTATTTTATTTTAATTTTCTTAAGAACATATTGCTAGTTTTTTAAAATAAATCACTTTTTTAAGACTTAATTATGAAGTGTATGAACTAACTTCACAGGATGTATCAACTAACCTTATTTATAAGGTTAGTGGATACATTAGATACATATTTTATTGAGTGCAGGAATTCCATGTAGAAACAAAATAATAGGCAAAATGTATATATTTGGGTGTATATATTTGGGTGTATTTGGGTATATATCACACTACTACTAGTGCAAATAGTAATGATAGTAAAACAAACTTAGGTTTGGCTATGGTTAACATCCCATCAGACATGCACGAAAAGTCATTGCAATATCTAGAGTTCACCATACATATAATAGAAGCTCATTGCTTATGGAGTAATGCAGAAACTTTAATACCTTATTGTAAAGGTAATATGATTGTATATTTAGTGAGAAATATTAATTCCTTACTGTTAAGGTAATATGGTTGTATTTTTAATAAGAAACAATACCTTTCTGTGAAGGTAATATGATAAGCTTGTATTTTTAGTGAAAAACAGCAGTTTCGAAACACATATCAAGATTAAAAAAAAATTAAATGTTTAGCAATGTCCTCACACATAAACAATACTTTAAATTTATGCTAGGTTACTTTAAACAATACTTTCTAATAAAAACTTTCCATTAAATGAGTAAAAACTAAAAATGTGTCAACGAACCTGCTCTTCCCCCATAGTCAAAATTTCACTTAATTTGAACATTCAAATTAATCTATTTTCCGCGTACAAAATTAAAAGATTTCACAAATTGAATCACAGGGTACCTTAATGCGTACGTATCACCCCTTGTAAGTGGTGTTCTTGGGTCAGTTAGGTTAGCATTATTAGGATACGTAGTAACCGTGGAACGTTTTATTTTAATTCTTAAAAAAATCAACAATCGGAAAAACAAACGTTTTATTTAAATAAACTTAATAAACCAATTAAAATAAAACGGCAAAACGAACGTTTTATTTAAATTCGAAATACGAACTTTTTTATTTATATTTTAACTTAATTTTTTTTCTTTTTTTTTTTTCTTTGCCTTTCAGCATCGAACCTCGGACCTTTAGGAGCAGAACTCTATATACTGCTCTAAATTGTTATCAAAACAGCTTTAAAAAAACGGTAAAAAGAAAGTTATATTTAATTTTTAAATAATTTAGTAAAAATAAAAATAGCAAAATAAATGTTTTATTTAAATTCTAAATAAAATATTTGAAATAAAAATGGGTGAACGCTTTATTTAAACTTCTTATAAAATAATTAAAATAAAACGGCAAAACGAACGTTTTAATTAAATTGTAAACAAAATAGTTAAAATAAAAACCGAAAAAAGAAAATTTTATTATTTTTCAATAAAAAAATCGAAACAAAATCGGTAAAACTAATGTTTTATTTAAATTCCTAATAAAAAGGTAAAACACTGCATTTCTTTTTTAAAAATTTAAGCAAACTTCGACTTCGAAGCAAACTTTTGACGTTGAAAGAAAAGTCAGAATTTACAGAAAACTCGGCGTTTGTTTTCTATAAATTTTATGCTACACGTTTGTCTGTATGTTAAATGATGTTTTTAATTTTTACGTCGACCTGATGCCGACCTGAAACTGTTTTATGTCGGCAATTTTTCTTAATTTCGAGGACTGTTTATACCATAAATTTTTGTTAAAATGTCTTTAAATAATAGTGATAGAACTAACAGAAGCTAGTTTATTTAGATTAGCAGAACAAAGTAAAGAACCCAAAGTATGAACTGACTCGTCTTTAGGGCTTTCTAATTTAAAATAGCCCTGGAACTCCAAATGCCTTAATCCAACACTGTTCAAGAAAGGAAGCTGGAGATGAGTTGGTTTTAAATTATACAAAGAGAAAAAAACATTTAAAAAAATTACTGGATATGTGTTAGGAATATTTATATTTAATAAAAAAGATTATTAGTGAGTAAAACAATTTTTAAAACTTATAAGACATGTGATGTGCTTTAATAACCCTGAAAATAAACTAGGTTTAAACTTCTTGCACTACAGTACCCCAAACATTATTAGCATAATTAAAATGACAGCGTATAAATAAGTAACATCCCGGTGGGAAATCGGCTAGCGAATAGCTAGCTATAATCGTAACGATAAAGACAGCGATTTGGCCACGAGGATCGCTAGCTTTTTTAAGTTAGCGAAAAGCTATCAATATTTGTAAAGATAAAGACAGCGATTAGGCTACGAAGACTGCTAGCTTAATAAGCTAAAGACCCACTGGCTATTGTAGTTAGTGTCATTTCGTAATAAAACCGTTGTCTAAAAAATTTTGATATGTAGCTATCAATCAGCTATAAATTTGTAGACAATTTGTAGCTAGCTACAAAGCTACGATATGTAGCTAGCGACACATTGCTACAAAATTGCAATGTTTAAAGTTCAATTATCTTCATAAATATAATAGACTCAACAGTAAAAACCGAATTTTTGAAGCTGTTAATGACATTTGCAAAAAATAAAATAGGAAAAACAAAAATCGCTTGAAAATTGCTATAAAGCTAGCTAGTCGCTCGCTAGTCACTAGCTCTTTTCCCACCGGGATAGATAAGTCAATTAATGTTTGCTAAAAATGCTTCTTACTTTATATAAAGCTCCAATACTATTTGCAGTTACTTTTGCGTAAGTGTGTCCAATGTGAAACTTCCATAATAGATTTTCATCTGAAATGAAATTTAAAAAACTTGTAGGTATTATATTTTTAAAAATATTAAATATAAATTAAATATAAATATAAAAAAATAAATTTTTAAAAATTCTGGAGAGCGATCCGATTCGTCTAACTACCGTCCCATTAGTCTTATTCCTATCATAAGCAAGGTTTTTGAATCTTTAATTAACAAATACTTAATCTCGAATCTCGAATCTCATAACCTACTTTCTGATCATCAATATGGATTTCGATCTTCTTGTTTTACGGCTGATTTGCTACAAGTAATAACCGATAGGTTTTATCGCGCATTAGATAAAGGTGGAGAGGTTAAAGCCATCGCTCTCGACATTTCTAGAGCGTTTGATAAAGTTTGGCATGCAGGTCTTCTCCATAAGCTTTCTTCTTGTGTATCTGGAAACATCTTTAAGATTATTGAATCCTTTCTTTCCAATCGTAGTATAAAAGTTGTCCTTGATGGACAGCACTCTTTTTCTTATTCTGTAACCTCAAGGGTTCCTCAAGGTTCAATCCTTGGTCCTATACTCTTTTTAATTTACATTAACATCTGAGCTTGAAAAGGATCTCACTTTTGCTACAGCATGGGGCTCACAGTGGCTGGTGAACTTTAATTCAGATAAAACTCAATTTTTTTCAGCCAATCGTTATCGCAATAATTTAGACCTTCCTATATTTATGAACGGTAATGTACTCGATGAGACTCCTACCCTTCATCTTCTAGGATTAACTCTTACTTCTGATCTTTCTTGGAAACCTTATATCAAATCCGTTGCAAAATTAGCATCTGCTAAAGTTGCTTCTCTTTATCGAGCTCGTCTTTTTCTTACTCTGGATTCTATTCTCTATCTCTATAAATCTCAAATCCGGCCTTGTATGGAATACTGTTGCCATATCTGGGATGGATCTTCTAATGATGCCCTTTCTCTTTTAGACAAGGTGCAAAAACGCATTGTAAACATAGTTGGACCTGCTCTTGCAGCCAACCTTCAACCTCTGTCACACCGTTGTAATGTTGCTTCTCATTCTCTTTTCTACAAATACTATAATGGGCACTGCTCGAAAGAGCTATCGTCTCTTGTGTTATCTACTAAAATTCATTCTCGTGTTACTCGTCATTCAATTAAGTCTCATTCTTTTTTTGTTTCTGTTCCTAAGTGCTCCAAAAACTCATATTAGTCTAGCTTTTTTCCTCGAACATCAGTTCTTTGGAATTCGCCTCCTTCATCTTGCTTTCCTGATTCATATAATTTGCAATCTTTTAAGTTGTCTGTAAATCGTTATCTTGCTCTGCAATCTTCATCTTTTCTCTTCCAGTAACTTCCAACACTAATTAGTGGTTGCTTGCAGCCTTGTTGGAAGCGAAGATGAAAAAAAAAAAAAAAAAAAGGTATTACAATATGCTATTAATATAAAGCAGGACAATAATATCCTGTTTAATTGTTAAATCTACTTTATAATATACCAAATGATATATATTATTTAAAAGTAAATGTTTATTTGATTAAAAAAGTCAAAGATTTTTAATAGCTCAACATTCATATCATAAAAAAGTTTATTGATTTTATTATAAAATAAGAATAGGCCTTTCTCATTTGCAAAAACATCGTCCCCATAGTATTATCTTGCTCTATCTACAATTGTAATAAATAAAATATTCTAATATATATATATAATATAATATATTATATTACGTAGATATAATATAATATATTATACGTAATATATTATAGTATATTATATTACGTAGAACATTGTATTTATATATATATATATATATAATATATATATATATATATATATATATATATATATATATATATATATATATATATATATATATATATATATATATATTGTATTTATTTTATATATTAGATAAAACATTTTATTTATTACATTTGTAGATAGAACTAGATAATACTGAGGGGACGATAAGTGTTGTTAGTTTTAAGGTTTTAAAAGATCATTAACATAAAATAGAAAAAGTTATAGTCCCGTTGTGGAACTCCGTAGATTAAGTTTAGAAAATCATGTGAAGAAAATCTTTTAACGTGGACAAATTGTTTTGATTGTTTTAAATTTTTTGGTTGCATTCAACCTTTATTAGTGATAATATTTAAACATAGGCGTAATTTTGGCAATTTTTAAATGTTTTGTAATGTCGTATAAAAACTTTAACGGTGATATCATAATATTACAGTTATTTAAATAGTCATGTTTAATAATACAAATAGTTAATAATAAAATTAAATAGTCATGTTTAATAAGTCTTAGGCAAGTCTTTAAAGGTGTCTAAA